CCGTATAACCTTGAAGAAGTCCCTTTTCTTCTTGGACCATCAGTTTTCTCATCTGCAAATTGAGTATGAATGTCCTTGACTTGTCAGTCCAGCAGGACTATTGTGAGGCCCAAGTGAGACAATAAGGCTGGTGAGGTATTTTCTTAGCAAAGGGGCTTGAGCCAGTCACCTCAGCACTCAGCTTCTCAATTTCTTTTTCTATGAAGTCGGTACATTCAAACCTTCCTTGTTGGTTTGTTGTGAGGCTCAAAGGATCTCTTAGCTGAAAATGACAAAAGCCATTCCTGGTGTGCTTGCACCACAAGAAAATTATTCCAATCAGCAGGCATCCGCAGAACCCCCTAGAGCACCCAACGAGACTGTGACTTGGCTCCTAAACGTTCAGTCTTTGTGTCTCTGTTCAACACTTGAAGCTCACCTTGGGTTAAGTGTTCATGTCTGGGCCAATGGGTTCTGACCAGGGGACGGAGTCATGCCAGGCAACAAAGACACATGGCACTGCAAGTCCAGCCCCATGGGCAGGGGAAATGCTGCCCTCACCTCAGAGCTCTCTGGGTGACAATGTCTGGTGGCCTTCAGAGAGCAGTAGTGGGTACTATCACTATTGTAATTGTTATAAAGTAAGGAAGAGCTCCAAGTTATCCTCCCCGCAGAACCTGAAGCTGCTTTAATGGCAGCTTCATAAATCTGTCTCTCTTCCATTGCCCAGGCCCCTGTCCTGTAGTTTCTTGGCCAGGTCCCAAGGACAGCCTGTGATTTGTTCACCACTCTCAGGAGCATGGGTCACTGACAGCCCAGCTCCATGTTTACCTGCAGGACACAGGAGAAGGCAGGAGAGGATGTACCTCCTTGGGGTAGTACATGTCAGCCTGTAAAGAACAGTATTTGATCTCCATTCCTTTTGAATTTGTTTATCATAGGCATTATTAACTCCCTTTAGTGATAAGAACTTTGATTTTTTCCATTGTCACACCACTGTTAAAAGGCAAGGCCAAGACTTCAACACAGACTGCTGATTTTCAGCCCAGTGTTCAGAAGTTGAAATACTTCATCTAGTCAGAGAGAGAAGGCTCACATAAGCAAAAACTACAGAAACTATAACTACACTACAGATACTGTAACTACAGAATGCCCATTCATCTCTTACCTTCTCTGATTAAACTCCATCCATCCATGCATCTCTCTATCTCTATCCATCCATCACAAAATTAGAGCAAGTGGCACCATGAAAAGGGGTGGGGGTGAGAAAGGAATCAGACAAGACAAACTGCAGAAAGGGACAGGGCATGTGCAGATAGAGAAGTGCCACCAAGGCTGATCCAGAGGCCTGGAAGGACTGAAGAAAGAGGTCGCACTTTGTGCTGGAGGCATCCAAGAGCCATTGAGGGATCTTAAGCAGAGAAGCTGGTATGGGAAGGCTTGTGCTTTGTGATTTTTCTGGGGGCCAAAGAGTAGGATGCATTGGGTTGAGTGGTGGTGCATGGTATGATTGTGTTCAATTATTCACTTCCTCTTCCAGTAAGAGGATTATATATCCCCACTCTTGGCCCTGTGACTTGCAATGCTTCCAGGATTTGATGCCAGGCAGATCTTGAGATCTGTTCTGCCCAAGTAGATCAGACTAGAAGTAACACATGCCAATTCTGAGTCGAAGCTTTAGAAGGCTGTATTATTTATTTATGGCAGCATAACTAATTATCTCAAGGCTTAGTGACTTAAAACAATAAATACTTATCTCATGCTGTTTCTGTGGGAAAGGGGTCTTAGAGGAGCTTAGTTGGTTGACTCTGGCCCAGTCTCCCTTGAAGTTTCTGCCAAGATATCAGCTGGGACTGAGTCATCCAGGGGCTTGACTGGCGCTGGAAGACCTGCTTCCAAGGTGACTCACACACACCTGGCAAGGTAGTACCAAGTGTTGGCAGAGCCTCCGTCTCTTCCTGTAGAGATGCTGGAGTGTCCCTATGTCTCGGCAACTGGCTTGCTCCACTCAGAGCAATGATCCACGAAAGAGAGGCAGATCCATAATGCTTCCTGTGACCCAGGCTCACAAATCACACCCTGGCACATCTGCCCTCATCTAGTAGTTAGAAGCGAGTGGCTAAATCCAGCGTATACTGAAGCGGAAGATAATTAAGCCCTAGCAAAGCATCTGTAAACATATTTTAAAGCCACTACAGGGGCACTGAGTTTTCCTGCCAGTCTCTTGCCTACTCTTGCTGCCATGAACAAGGGATGTCTCTGACACAGGTCTTCCTCCAGCCTGGATCCTGGATCCTGCACATGAAGAAGTCACAGCTGCTGTAGTTGTCACAGACATAGGTCACATGAGTGGTGAATATATCTTGGTGTTGCAAGATTCTAACATTGAGGGCTTGTTTGTTACCACACCATAACCAAGTGGAAACTTCCTGCTACAAGGCTGTGGGTCTGGAGACAAGGAAACTAGTTGAGATTATGCAGTTTGGCCTAAGGCAGGGGAAGGGGTTGGGGAGGAGGAATGGAGAGGGCTTGGAGACTAATGGACTAAGGTGCTTGGCTGAGAGGGAGTTGTTAAGAGAACTCTAGGATTAGTCACCCAAGATTGTGGTGTTCATACTGGGGGCAGCAGGGCATCATAAAGAAGAGAGTAGAAAGTCTTAGAGCAACTGGGAAAGGTTTCACGGAGGGGACATCTAATGCAAGGGACCTGGAAGCCTGGTGAGAGTTGGGTGATATAGTGCCACAGAACCTGCTTCAGCACAATGGGCTCAGCTCAGGATAATATGCTTAGGAGTCATTCATTGATTCAACAGCTAGCATTTACTGAGTGGCTACTATGTGCTAGGCACCTTTTAAAACATTGGAAACAAGATAAAATTGTAGCCCTCAAGCAATTTAAGGTTTAGTAGATAGAGAAAGGCATTAAACAAGTAATACATGTTGGGATCTCTTCTTGTCTTCTGTTCCACTCTCTGTTCCATGGCATACAGGTCTTTCTTTGCCTTTCTTTGGCAGGGGATCTGCTGGGACCTTCCTGGCACCACCCATAGGCTCACCCATGGGCTTTGTTCTGAAATTGGCAGAGGAGTTGAGCCTCCCTCCCTCCCCACAGCCTAGTTGGCTGATCTCATGCATTGGCCTTGCTGTCCCATCTGGTGTTGCTGCATTGACCAGACCTTGGATAGTCAGAGCTATAACTGAAAAAGTCAACCTTGAGAGCAATCAAGAGACTATTAGGCCTTTGGAAGTTAAAATTTCCAGCTCCAGGTCCTGGGGTATTTTCAGTGTCTGAGGTGCGACCTTCACACTCCCAGTGATGATTTCTGTAGCAGTCGTCACAAAAATACAATTCCAAATAATAACATTTATTTGGCTATCACTGTCTCCATCTCTGCCTAATTTTTATCCTTACAGTTTCTTCATGTTTCTTTTGACAACATCTCAGTTCTCCAGAATGGCCATAAAATAGAGTCAAGGTACATCACATTTCCTTCCCAGGGGTGATAAGTGCAGTAGGACAGAAATACCCTTAGTAAAGGAAAACGTGTTCTCATTTTTAATGTGGAAAAATGTATGCAAAATTTTCAAATATGCAAGGTATTTGTTATTAGCCAAGAATTTTTATTATGAGAGTTTTTTTTTTCTTTCTAGCAAAGTAGAAACCAGTAAGAATGTTTCCCAAGGTTGAACCAAGACTGGTCAGACAGAAGTCATGGGAGATGGTCACTAGTGTTTGCCCTTGCCTGAATAAAAATAGAAGACTCTGAGAGTTCATTCCTCAGTGTGGAGACCAGAGACCTGGGAACATGTGTCCAGAGCCTAGATCTTAGTCCCTGTTCCTCTGCTAACTAGCTGCAGGGCCCTGGCAAATCTATTTCCTGGTATAGGCCTCAGTTTCCCCACCTATGGAAATGAGCATGCTCAGATATTGCTTGTGGTAGTGAGGCTGGGCATAGATCCAGTGGCAAGATCCAGTGGCACTGAAAATCCAAATAAACCAAAGACCCAGCAATTATACATCTTGCTTTCTACTTTAGAGAAACCCACTCATACACATAAGGATATTTACCACAACATTAATTGTAATGACAAAAAATAGGGAACAAATTTCAGACTGTGAGAAGGGTGAGTCAAGTGTACTCTATTTATGTAATGAGATTGAAAGCAATCAAAAAGAGTATGCTAGGTTTATGCAAAAGTATAGATAAATCTCCAGACCGCATGTTGACTGAGAAAAATGAGCTGCAGAAAACAGTGAAGAGTGTTATGGAGAATATTCTGCTCCTTATGCAAATCATCACACATATTGAAAGCATGTATGTGTCTGTACAGAAGTTTAGAAACTGAACTGGAAAGATACACTCCTAATTCATGACGGTGGTTGCTTTAGCTGGAAGGAAAGAGATGGAACTGGGACTGAGGAAGGGAGGGACTTTGAATCTGGCTATAATGTCATATACATGTGGCATTCTAGACATTTGGTAAATGTATGTCCTATAAGTAGGTAAACAATTTAAAAATAAATATTTAAAATGGAATTAGTATCTTGATAAAAGTACACAGATAATATTAGCACCAGATTCCAATTTTATAAATATATAAAAAACCAAAGCAAATAACATTAACAAATTATTAGTCCTGGGTGGTAAATGAGTGGGGGTATATAAGTACTGGCTGTGTTTTTCTTGTACATTTAAAAATTTTCACCAAAATTAAACATGGGAGCATATATATAAAATTCAGCTGGAAAAGACTCCTTGGGAGGAAGACAGTGATTTAGTCTTTTGGTTCTAATTGCCTATAGGACTGACAGTGGTGGGCCGAGGGCTCCATGGCCTTGAGATTTCCTTCTTGGGAAACTCCACTTAAAGTCTTGCTCATGATCCCTACCCTGGAGGTCTGTGTGGAGTGGATGCAGCTGGAATGTGACAAATGAAGGAGGGAGCAGCAGTGTAACAGAACAATGAGCGTGGGACACCTCATGGAGAGCAGGAGGCAGCAGAGGGAGGAATAGAGTTTGAAGGCTGTCTTGGATGGGGAAGAGAGCTCTGAACTGTGGCCACAGTGCAAGTGAAGGCAGGCAGGAGAGAGCCGGTTCAGCAGCTGGAGATGAAGTTGGAGATGTATTTGGGCCAGGTTCTGCAGAAGCTGTGAGTGCATGGATTCCATGCTGAAGACGCCAGGCTCCAGAGCCTCCCTGCAGCAGCAGGTATGGAGGATGGGATGGTAGGAAGAGCCTGGAGTCAAGGGGAGCAGGAGGGTCACATTTGTCCAAATGAGCATCCATGGGTGCGGCATCAGCAAAGAGGTGCATGGACTGGCTGGCAGGTATAATGACAATACTAGCAATGACTTGTACATGGTGGTCTGCAAAATCCTCCCAGCAGTCTGAGGAAGTAGATCTCACTTCTGTCATCTCTATTTGGCACATGAGGAAACTGAGGTAGAGGGAAGTGAAGTAATTATCCAGAACCCTCTGTTGGTAAATCAGAGCCAGGCTTTGAGCTCAGGCAGTGTGCATCAGAGGCCACCACTTAGCCCTGGTGTTTTGGGGATAAATGCTCAGTAGGAACTAGGATCCACCCTCTGACAAAAGATCCATTAATAAAGAGCTGATTTGGACCTGTCACCATCAGCCTTTGAAGGTGGCTTCACTGTTTCCAAGGGCCTTTTATCCCAGCCTTGTCTCCAAAACCATTCTGTGAGGTGCATGAGGCAGATCCCAGAATTCCTCTACTAGAGACAGGAAAACTGAGGCTTAGCTGGATGAAAAGGCTGGTTGAGGCCCTAGCTAATGTGGCTTCTGGGCTTCAGACTCGTGGCTCCTGCTACTTTGAGCCTGCTAAGCAGCCTGCTGACCTTCTGACCTCCTTGGATTCTCTTCCTTGCCCACCTCAGGCTGAGCTTACATTGTTGCCTTTTTCTTTCACTGGCTTGAAATGTCAAGGTGGGAAGCCTGGTGCTTTCTGACTTTACCTTGTCCTGGGAACTTTTCACATCCACGGTTTCACAGAAAGGTCTTCCTGAGCTACAAAAGCTCCCAGGAGTTCCTCTTTTGTCTTCTGGCAGATGCCTATTTATTAATGCATAAAACAGACCTTTCATCAGCCCCCAAGGCCATCTTTCTTCTAGGAGGCTCAGTAGAGCAGTGCTTGTGGATATTTTTATGGGTCATGTTTAAAAAATTATATCCAAATTAAATTTGTGCTGATTTAATTACAATATGTAAGCTGAGGGATTTCTTTATTGCTCCTGCTGCTGGGTCTTGGGCAAACTATTCTCTTTGGAAACTGCTGTTCACACCATGAACGAATGAGGGGCAGGTTGGGCCATCCCTTGTCTCCCTGTAGGTTAAACTATCTTAGAAAGTAGGAGGGCAGAACTAGAAGCGTCCTTGACACCATCAAAGTCTTTATCTCTCCTTTCATAAAAGACAGACTTAGGCCCAGAGAGAGGTAAAAAACTGCTTCTACCATCACATTTCCTTCCTGAGACTCCTGCCCCCACTCAAGGACCCTTATGATTACCTTAAGCCCAGCTGGAGAATCCAGTAAAATCTCTCCAGATGAAGATTCTTAATTTAATCATATCTGAAAATCCTTTCTACCAGGTAAGGTAACATGTTCACAGGTTTTTGACATTAGGACATGGATATCTTTTGGGAAGAACAGTATTTGAGAGCTTTCCACATGCCCCTGTCCAGCCAGGATTATGGCATCACCTAGAAGCTTCTGTCCAGAGGACTAAATAAAAATCTCTGCTTGAATCCTGTGAGGGACAGCAGCACTGGAAGCTAAGACTCAAAAAACAGGTGTAAGTCTGAGATACCCCGGTGGCAATACCCCAGCAAGAAGCTGGACAGGGACATATAGATAAAAAGCAAGAAAATTGCCCCTCCCTCCCAAAAGATGTCCATGTCCTGAAGCTGAAACCCATGAACATGTTACCTTAAATGGCAAAATGGACTTTGCAGATGTGAATAAATTGAGAATCTTAATCTGGAGAGATTTTACTGGTTTCTCCAGCTGTGTACAAGGAAATCACAAGGGTTCTTGAGTGAGGGAGGGCAGGAGAATGAGTAGGGAGATGGGACAGTGGGAGCAGAATTGGGAGGGCGGGAGAGAGGAAGTGGGAGAAGAAGAAAAAGGAGGAGGTATGAGAGGAGGGGAGAGGAGAGACTGGAAGATGCCACCCTCCTGGCTTTAAAGTTGCAGGAGGGACCAGGAGCCATGAAATGAAGGTGGCCCCTAGAAGCTGGAAAAGGTAAGAAAACAGTCTTCCTCAGAGTCTCCAGAAGGCACACAGGCTTGGAACCTTGATGTTAGGAATTCTAACCTCCAGACTGTGAGAATATATTATGGTGTTTTAAGGTTGTGGCTATTTGTTCCAGAGTCCTAGGGGTTTTTTTTTGTTGCATGCGGAAAAACAGCTAACTTAAATTGTCCTATAGGAAGGAGGGAGAGCACTGACTCCTGTAATGCATAGTCCTTGGGGTCGGTGTGGCTTTAGGTACAACTGCATTCAGAGCTCACTTTCTTCCAGCTCTGTTTTGCCTTCTCCTGGGCTACTTACAGCCTTATTGGTACCAAGACCAGGGAAGAAGCATCAGACTTCACTTCCTCTGTTCTCGAAATCTTTGGGCAAAAGGACATTTTCCTCCTCCCGGAAGCGTCAGTGAAAGCTTCATGGAATCTTACGAGCTCCAATTGGTCATCCACCAATTTTGTATCCCTTTAGGAGCTGAGACAACCACAGGGACTAGACCAAAAGACTGACGGGTCATCAGATGCAAAGGAAAGGCTTCACAGAGGCCCACAAGAATGAGGTGGGGTGGGGAGGAGAGGACTGATAGCACTTCCCACACAAGCATGTCCCCTGTGAAGCAGGCTGGCATTGTCTTCCATGCATGTCATATGGGAAGGCAATGGTTCAATTCCAACTGTCATCACTTGTAAGCTGTGCAATGTGGACCAAATCAGTTGCTCTCCCAAGCATGAGTGCTCATCTATAAAATGGAAGAGCTAACCCGTATCTTGTAGAGATGCTGTGAGCATGAGAGATTTGTATGTACACAAAGCACTGACACAATGTTTGGCTGGAGATAGTCCTTAGACAGTGGTGGTTTCTGATGCCAATGATGATCAGTATGATGATGATGATGATGATGATGATGATGATGATGATGATGATGATGATGATGATGATGATGATGGGTCGGCAAATTCACACAGGATTTTTCTTGGTACCTGAAGGAGTGGCTCATATATTTTTTGGTATCCAAACCAATTGGTAAGTGAAAGAATGAAAATAACTAAGGAAAAAAATCAAGCATATCTTTTGGCACAAAATGAAATGGTAAAGCTTCCAAGGGAAAGTTTTCATTCAAATGCCACTGTTCAATCCGAATATTTAAAAATATCTTCCTACTGAGCATAGCCGGTTTCTGTTTCTTGGAATGAAAAGTAGATAACAAAATTCAACAAACAACTGCCTTCCTTGGCATTTAACAACTATGACTGACTCAGAGTCCCAGAAATCTGCGCAGTTCTTTTCTTCTTAGATGAATGGCTTCCTGTACTCATTGGAGGAAATGTTCTTGGGGACCAGTCAATCCTGGAAGCAGTGAGTGGTCTTACGCTTGGAACTTCTCATGGCCACTTTTCATAGTGATGCTGTATGGCTCAGGCTCCTGAGCAGTCATGGGCCATGGTGCCCAGGGTGAGAGAACTTCCTACTCAGCCTGACCTTGGCTTTCATGGACCCCATGGGAGGGAAGGAAGGGATGTCTGCCCATCTGAACTTCTGGTTTGTGAAGTGTTCTTATCTCTATCCATTTTTTTTAGTATTCATGGTCCCTCTATGCTGAGGGTATTACAGGTGAGAAAGTTGAGTTTCAGAGAGGAAATCTGAATTATTTAATGTTCCACAGCAAGGAAACATCTAGGCCCCTGCCTCTCTGGCTGTTGGTGTCACATAGATGAACATTTGGAAAGCAGTTGACTATGTATGATTTTGGAGGTGTTTAGGAATTAATAATGCATATTTCACACATCCACCAATGTGCTAGGTTCTCCAGAAAATGACAACACTGTGGAGCTTGCACTATTCTCTAGATCCTTCTATTAACAAAATCCTTAGAGGTCCAGGATGAAAGGTCACATTTTTTTGTGGTACTGGGGATTGAACCCAGGGCCTTCACACTGAGCTACATCCATAACACTTTTAATTTAATTTAACTAATTTCAGCTTTTAGATTTGAGGCAAGGTCTTACTAAGTTGCTAAGTTGCCCAGACTGGGTTTGGACATGTGATGCTACTGCCTCAGCCTCTGAAAGGGCTGGGATTATAGGGGCTCTATCCCTTACATTTCCAAATTCCCCATGGTATCTAACAGAAGACAGAAGATGTAGCAAGTGCCCAGTGTAAAGGCTGCCCAGATGGTGATGACTGCTCTGTCATATTGATTCAGCTCACATGGATCTTACTGACAGTAGAGGACTAATGTTATGTGAGACAGGAGTGCCCACCTCACAAGGGAACAGGATTTGTTGAGTCATAGGTGGCATCACCCATACTTTGGGGACTTCAGTTCTCCCTCTCCTCAAGATAATTGAAGAAGCATCTCCATCAGTACACTAGTCCTTATTTATCCACGAGAGGTATGTTCCAAGACCTCCAGTGGATGCCTGAAAGCATAGATTGCACCCAACTCTATGTAAATCATGTTTTGTCCTCTACACACACACCCATGATGTTTAATTTATAAAGTAGACATAGTGAGAAATTAACAATAATAGTGAAGAATAAAAGAGAGCAATTATAACAAATACTATAATAAAAGTTATTTAAAACTTATGAATTATATATTTCTGGAATTTTCCATTGAATATTTTTGGATCATAGTTGACTGCAGATAACTGAAAAGTGGAATCATGGATAAAAGGGGAGGGGACTGCCATAACAAAGAAGGTAATTGGGGGCTTCAGGCCAAGCCAGGGTGAAAGGATTGGAGCACCTGTTGCTTTTGCTACAGACTGGTTCAACCCAGGGATCAAACATATCATGCTCCCTTCCACCATTCTGTGTGCATTATTAAGCATGTACTATATGCCAGGCATGGGATTTAACACAGTAGCAAGGAATTTGGTTTCTTTAAGGAATTCACTGTTTAATCAAAGAGGCCCAAAAGCAAGACCATGATGACAGGAT